GGGTTTACAGCAGGGTGTTTTCTCGCTTTCTGTCTCTATGTCTCTGTCTGGAGAAAAAAAAAAAAAAACTCCAAAAATAAAGAAAAGAGTCACAAAATACTAAATTCACTTATCAAAAGTTATTTTATGAATATTTCATCAGCTTTGGCATCATAGATCTCTGGCTTTAGTTTTCATTAATTTTTTCTTTTTGGCCATTATTTACTCATAAACTTTTTTTTTTTTTTTTTTTTTTTTTTTGGAGAGGTTTTCGCTATAGGGTGCATGTGCTTGCCAGACAGACAGACAGAAAGTGAGAAATCACCCTCCATGGGGGATGATCACACTGCAATCCCTTCTCCTCCCAGAATCTTGGGCACGCATGCACACACGCCCGGCGTGAGTTTTAAACCACCGGGTCCGGGACGCAAACCGGGACGCGGTTGACTACGTGGGAGTCCAGTGACATCGCCATTACGCTAAGTGCTGGTTCCCTACTCATAAACTTTTGTGGTCCTGCCCCTTATTCCATTTTAGTGTACTTATATGCTTCACCTATAGCAGTTTTACTTGAATTTTTTTCTGTCTTTCAACTAACATATTCATGACTTTCCAGAGCTTTTCAAACATACAGGTTGTATTTATTATAGTAAATATTCCTGCTTACTAATTTTTTATCTAAAATGAAGTAACCATTTAGGTAAAACAAAAGATCAGTAAACATGACATAAGTTAAAAATAAGAAACTGGAACCAGCAGGTGATATAGTCGTTAATGTACTGGATTCTCTCATGATCAACGACAGTCTGAGTCCTAGATCCAGGGGCTTGAAAAGTCACCCTGGGGCACATGTGTGCATGTCTGAAATCCTGATAGAATGGAGCAGGGACTGTGGCATTTTTGTCTTCCATCCTGGATAGTAATTTCTCACTGTCCCTCTGACTCTTTTCTCTCCAATGAATACATGCACTCCGTGGCAAAAACCTAAAAACTACCTACCACAAAACAAAAAAAGAAAAGGCAAAAAACAAGAAAAACAAACAACAGAAGAACAGTGAAAAAAAAAATCAAAAAAACCTTAATCTACCTGCAGCAGAGTAGACATGACAAAACAACTTCTCTCTCTTTCTCTCTCTCTCTCTCTCTCTCTGGCGAATGCATGCACCCTATGGCAAAAACCTCTTTTAAAAAAAAGAATTTACAGACATATCTCTCCAAAAGCCCAGTTCCAACGACAAAGATGCCTCCTCTTGGCCTCAGTTCACTTAAGACTGTAAGCAGGTCTCTGGGCCCACTCATACCCACAGTGCCTACTACTTTTTCCCCTTGCTCCATGCAACCAATTCTCATCCCAGGTTTGACATACCCAGGACTTTGATCTCCATGGGAGGGGCACCATTGAGTTCACTCATGCCCTGGACTTCAGTGAAGGAGACAAAGTCGCCACTCTCAAACCCATGCCGGGCCTCATCTAGGCAAGTGACAATACCAGGGTTGTCCTGGTTGGAAGAAGAATGAATTTTAGAGGCAAGTGCAGAGATCCAGCAAATAAAGAGAGGACTGCTGCTGCCCACCTTAACCCATCAGCCTAGCCTCCTTACCTTGGTGATCATAGAAACCATAGCACTGAGTGGTTGTTCCCCATTGGAATCAATGAGAATCATTTCCTCTCCAAAGTCACAAAAGAGTTGCCTGTGGTGAATTTAAACAAGATTAATAACTGAGACCCACACATAGTGGCACACCATGAAGTGCAGACCAGTGATACTTGACAAGTAAACTCAGCCCATTAGTGATAGGAATCAGATAGCATTCACATGGCCATGAGAGAAAACATGCAGAATCCAAACCCAGGTGGGTGAGTATACGATGAAGGTAATGGGAGCTTCTTTGTATGGCTTGTTAGGGGTTGGGAAAAGAGTGAAAAGGAAAAGCCAAGAACTTACCCAAACAGCCCCCGACTGTCTGCTACCACCAGCTTGATTCCATGGCTGTGACAGAATTCACCCACTTGCAGCTGGTCCTCCAAGGGAGAGTTAGTAAGTACTACCACCTGTAAAGGGCAGGGAGTTTAGCCTGAAGGCCTGGGACTTGTATGAATGAAAATAAGGGAGAACACTGAGATGGCTAAGGGAGAGATTGGAATGGGGCAAATTTGTGTATATCATCAGCATGGTTTGCTGTTTTAGCACTCTCTGACAAACATATGTGAAGTATGTCAAACACTGTGAGAGTAAGGATCTATAAAACAATAAACAAAAGAATGAATCCCAGGGCATAGCAGCAATAAGACCAAGTATGAAGACTAATTTATTTGGCAAAATTCTCATTGTGGGAGAAACTTTTGTCCCAGGTTGAACGAAGTGCATCTCATGCACTGTGCACCCAATTCTCTACCACCGTACTGCAACACACAACAAAACAACACAGTACTTGCGTTTACATTCCCACGAAAGTCTGCTACCATAGCTACGGAAGGCAATACACAATAGGAGTGACAGAGAATGGCTGCAACACATTAAGCTGCTTCCAGCACTTGTCCACTTGCTCATGTGTACTAGTGAACTAGCACTGATCTATCACCAGCTCCTAACAGCCAAGGATGCACCAGGCTACAGCCTAGAGTTGTGGACCCTGTTTTAAGAGTAACACTGAGTTCCATTTAAAGTATTGTGTTCTTCTTTAAATACATGTATATGCCTGCCACAGCCACTTACTCCAGTACTTCATAAAGTGTCTTTTCTTTCACAATCCAAGGAATTTGCCTGAATTCCCTTCCTTGTTCACCAGGATTAGTCCCTTCTTCCTACTCAGGGATATCACAGGGCAGCATGTCAACAGCGCCAGCTCCATTTTCCAGTGCAGCGACTAAATGAAGAGCCGTATGACTTCCCCATACAGACAGGCATCTAATTGCTTAGTCTGAGTTTAATACTTAAAAAACTCAGAGATTCATAGGTCAGTATTACTCCTATTTCTACTTGACATAAAGAAACACTAACACTGAGAGATTAAGTACTTCCTGTGGTCATACAGTCTGAAGGGCTCAAGTCACACATAAAGACAGTTATCTATAGAGTTCAATGTTCAAAAATACTGCACCATGATGAATGGCCACAGTCTCCCTCCAGGATCCCCCAAGGACAGATCTAAAATCAAATTACTGCCTGTATCCTCTAGCCTCCCAGCACCTGATATACAGGTTCAAAGATAATAAATAAAAGAGATTAAGACATAAAAAAAAGTATGAAAAAGATCTGTGTTCCAAGGTACCTGGAAACCACCAAGGAAGTCCTTGACAAGGGGTCCAGTGTAGATGTTGACAGGAACATAGCTGTTGAGCTCAGCAAGACGGGGCTGTGATACCTCAGCTCTGTTCTTACCAATATCCTCCTCCCGCAGATAAAACTACAAGACCATGTTAAAAAAAAAAAAAAATGAAGTGGCCAAGGCTGTGAACAATTGACACTTTGACAAGGGGTAAGAAGTGGTACCTGGGAGGAAAGATCAGCCCACTGGGTGGTGCCCTCATCATGGAGGGTGACAGCTTTGACCCCACCAAGGATGATGTTCTTGGCGATCTCCACACCTAAACCCCGCAGGCCTGATACCAGCACATTGGATGACTGGAGACGCTTCATTGCCTCATGACCCAGTACATACCTGCCAAGTTAGGGAGGTAAGGGTTTAACCCAATCAACCCTAACCTCTCAGTTCCACCTCCTCCTTCTCATCCCCACTTTGACCTCACTTACAGCTGGCGTGAGTAAAGACCTTCATCTATCTCGGTATCACTGTTGTTTTTTGACATTTCCTAGTGATAAAGAGAAAAAAATCATATTATGGGGAGACAAAAAGTAATGAGTGAAATTTGTACAAATAGGGTAACTTCCCACTGGTCATTCTACCTCATCTGCTGGTTTCCCAGGAGAAGATACTCACGTTGCTTGGTTCTGAGGGTACTTTGAACATCATGGAGCGGGCAGAAGAACAGTTAGAATCCACCTTTAAATCAGGCCCAGTCACACGCTGTTTCTTGGACAGCAGTGACCTAGACATCTGGAGGGGAAGGGAATTGTGTGAGGGGTGATACATAAGGGATTGCAATAGCCTTCCTGTCCATAGCAATTCTAAGAGGGGAGGACTTTAGGGCCCATATACCTACTCCAAGTAAGATACAGAGAACATGGTCCTAAAGGTACTTTGATGAAGCAGAGAAGAGAGGCTGAGCTCAGATAGTTGAAGATCCAAAAGTTCAGTGACCAGCGAGCATGAGACAAGGGGGTCAAGGTACTGTACTCCCACATGGCCAACCATCCAGTTATAAAACTGAACCAGTGGTCTGAAATCATGCAAGGTGTGCATGCCCAAGGTCTCAAGAGGAGAATGGAAGATAAAGAATTGCAGTGTGGTCAGTTCCCTGGAGGAATGATTTCTCACATTCCACCACTCTTTCTGTGCCTAATACATGTACCCTACAGAATAACCTAAAAAACATTAAAAAATTAATTGAGAAAATACTGACCATATTCAAACACCTAGAACTGGACTTCCTAACTGGTAATACTGAAGCCATGTTAAACCCTGCTCTTGGAAAGCAAGGCAGTGACCAGAATGAGATAAAGGGGAGGGGTGAATCTCTAATAAACGATGTTCAGATCACAACCAGGTAAGTCGGGGACTGGTGGAAGGGATAAATCCTTGATGATGAACTGTATATACAAATATTCTCTGCCGATCTCTAATTCTTTGGGAGGTTCTCAGAGAAGACTTAATGATTATCTGAAGAGAACACAGAGATCATTTGGGTAGATACGTATTCCATTAAATGTAAACCCAGGTTTCTGAATGACAACATTTAGAGTTAGGAAAAGTAGATATAGATGTTAGTTCTTGAGGTATCTCTGACTATGATGTAAGGAGAAATAGGTCTGTAAGGACAGATTCTAAGGCCTAGGAGAGTCTCTGAAGCAGGTATTAAGTTATCTGAAGAGAAATGTTTGGCCTATAGGGATTTTTGAAGATTATGGAGATGTGGGAACCAGCAGTTAGTATAATGGCTATGTTGCTGGACTCCCACGTAGGCAACCACGG